CTCTGGTAAGAGAGAGAGAGAGAGAGAGAGAGAGAGAGAGAGAGAGAGAGAGAGAGAGAGAGAATTGCAGATCTAGTTGTAGCAGGAATATAAAGATATATTTAATTAAATATCTGAAAATGAAGAGCAAACCATCCAGCCCCTACACTTTTTCTGAAGAAGAGAGGAGAAAGAAAAGTGGTGGAAGAAAGAAAATAAGAACAGAACATGAGATTACGACACATGGCTGAGACCCTTTCTGAACAGACTAGACTATCAGGCCCAGGCGGTTGTGTGCCTTTACTGGAGGAATTACAGTTTTCATATCTTGTAGACCATCATTCTTTTGAAAAGTAGAGAATCTGTGAATTATCCTCTGAAAAGGGTTTATTTAGCAAAAGTCTGTATGCAACACCATATTTTTGTTGTTGGCCCCAGTTAAGGGGAAGGCTTTAGCTCCATGAGTCGAAGATCATCTTCAAACAGTCCTCCAATTGTCAGCAGAGCTGGTTTGATTGGTAAGGCTTTCCTTCCTGTGGGGAGAAGCACATGTGTTTTGAGCCAGCGTGCCACAGAATGTCCTATTGTGTCAGCGTCCCCACACATGCATCTAGCACAGCTGATGTAACCATTTGCTGTGGAGCAACAGCTGGCTGCCCTTCCCCTCAATGTGGCTGCTGTTTCAGGTAACAACAGCTGCCCTGCTACCAGGTAGAGGGAGCTGAAGAGACCAGCTGGCTGCCCCAGTCACTGCTTTCTGAGTTGTTTGGGCTCACACTGGTGAACTGATGTGGTATTTTTGTTGGGTAGAATTTAGCGCTTCTCATAGAAACTGGCTTCTGATTGAATTAGTGCTTTTGATTCAAGAAAACTAAAAAGCATTTCCACGAAAGGACATGGTTGGAGCAGTCATCATGCAAGAGCATGATGCTGATTTCACACATTTCTGTGGTCCCCATCAGGTTTCGGCCAGCTAATTAAATGATACCACGTCTGGGAATGAAGTTGATTGTGCACAGAATTCCCCACACATTTAGTGATCATGGCTAAAGCAACATTTGCACAGGCCTTGGGTGTCATGTTTACCCCAGAAAGACTTACTCCTTTCATCCACATTTCTCAGCTGTCACCCCATGTCTGGAGAGTGTGCCTGCAATCCAGGCTGGTCGGGACTGTACTGTAATGAGACGTGCTCTCCTGGATTCTACGGGGAGGCTTGCCAGCAGGTCTGCAGCTGCCACAATGGGGCTGACTGTGACAGTGCAACTGGAAAGTGCGCCTGTGCCCCAGGATTCAAAGTGAGTGACTTGGGCAACACAGGCAGAAGGAGGGTGCAAGAGAGAGCGTATCAGTGCTATAACCTACCCGCCCCACTGTAAAGTACAGTAAATGTGTGCAAACCATTCACATTACTAATGAGAAGAAGAATAAAGAGAAAAGTATTAGTAGAGATCTAAGTACTAACCTGTGAGTGAAGACTGGGAAAGCTGGCGGAACTATAAATGTATCATTAGTTTTTAATATAAGAATATGTCAACAAGCATGATATATTACTATTACTTCTTAAGCTGTTACTTTAATGTCTTTCATAGCAACAAAGAAGTTACTTTCCCAGGGAGATTAGTTATTGCTGTCTTAATTCCCTGAAACTGAAAGAGATATCATGCATCAAGTTAGTATTTTATACTAACCTGTATTCTATAGTTTGAGAATCGAGGCACTGCAAATATGCCTCTATGCTAGTAAAGCAGAACTTTGCTTAAAGCTTGCAGGATTCTTTAACTATGGGCAGGAATCTTAAAGGAAAGTGGGTTGCTCTTGGATTATTTCCTCCCATTCTAAAGAAGATAGCATTGAACTCTGAAGAATGTTGATGACTATTCCAGAGCACACAGTGTTGAGCTGGGAGATCATAAAATCGCAGAGCTGAGAGAATCTCAACAAGGTTTCCTAACCTATGACACACTCATTTTTCCGAGCCCTTCCGTGAACCTTTGTTTTGCAAAGAACCCTTATACCCCCACTTTTTTTGAGAGGAGATGCCCTCCAGCTGCCTTTGGTAGCCCAATTCTGTGTTTGATGCTCATTACTGAATAAATTGAATAATGCTGCTGGCTGGTGGTGCATTCTGTCGCCTCATTGCACCCACTAATAATATTCGGTAGTGCACAAGGAAGTCTAGGAAGCATTGGAAACTAATGTATGGTCCTATCTACGCCTATATATTCATCAACAGTGATTTTACAGCTACAGTTTGTTTTAATACATTGAATTGTCTGAGTAAGGACGAAAGGCTTATTTTTTTTTTTTTTAGTTCAGCTCCAAAAGCAGTAGGATTTTTGATGTCTCATTTAATATACTACCTTAAACAGAAGACAGTTATTATCACCTTGAAATCTCTAAAATGTGGATAGTGGTGACTTTAGAGCAACTTTTAAAAATACAGTGTGTTAAAATTTGCAAGGAAGCACAGGCAATATTGCTAAGATCTCTCTTTGTTTATTTGTGTTGGCCTGATGGCAGTGGGCAAGATGACCTACAATTTGCTGTTTGTGCCACATAGGGAATTGATTGCTCTACCCCATGCCTTCCGGGAAGCTATGGGATAAACTGTTCCTCTCCCTGTGGCTGTAAAAATGATGCTGTCTGTTCTCCTGTGGATGGATCTTGTACTTGCAAGGCAGGTAAGAGTGGGTGAACGAGTTGTTTTTTGGATTCAGGTCCTCTTGTCTCCTAAAGTCACAGGAAGGAAACTGTAGCAAGGTTCCTTGTCACTTGCTGCACCACAAGTCAGGGTCTGACCTCAGCAAGCCCATCCTGCAGCCCATGTGGGCCCTGACGTCTTCATGGGTCAACGCGAAAGGCTCACAGCAGATGATCTCTGAAGTTGCGGCCAGCTTTAGAAGTCTGTGAGCCTGTGCTCTGGGGAAGAGTGACGAGAAGACATGGATCTGTGCCCTAAGTTGACTGTCCTGGAGTTGTGGCAAGAAACGCAGCCAAGCACAGATTGGGAGGCGCCAGAATGTGTCTGTCCGTAGATTCAGCCAGGATCTTGGGTGCACATTGCTCATGGTTGATGGGGTCCTGCATCAAAGATAGGGTGTTCTTCTAAGTTGCTTCTTCCCATACAAATATTCCAGTTTTCCCAGTGTGAACAGCATTCAGTGTTCCACCATCACGCACTGCTGCACAGGAAGGTTGCCTCATCCTGCGTCTTTTCCCCAGTCGCCCAGTGATGCCTCTCAGTGTTGGCATCCTTGGCAGATGACACATAGCACACACAGCTCTTTGTGTCCTCTGGGTGCCTTTTGTTCAGTTCTGGTGGCACAGTCAAGGCTGTGTGCTGCTGGGTCCCACTGGGAGGCACTATTACGCATCCCTGACATGTTTCCAGAGTGAAGTGTCTGCTGCTTTGTTTCTCACGTGCCCGCATTCTTGTCACACAGGCTGGCATGGTGTGGACTGCTCCATCCGCTGTCCCAGTGGCACATGGGGTTTTGGCTGTAACTTAACCTGCCAGTGCCTTAATGGGGGAGCTTGCAACACCCTGGATGGAACCTGCACGTGTGCCCCTGGATGGCGTGGGCCAAAGTGTGAATTTCCTTGCCAGGTAAGCCTGCTCCCACAGTGAAGGCCTGGGACGGGCTGATACGGATGGGCTGATTACTTTTTTTGCAGTTTTTTCTGATTTAGAGTGACTGACTGTGAGCCTAACTTCAGCAGCTACTAGAAGACACAAGGTGGATAGAGGATTAGAAATGAGGTGGGCAGAAATCACTCGCCAAGCCTCGTGGGAATGCCTTCCTTCTTGTGTCTCTAGCTTGCTGCCTTCACACCCCTCCAGGGTTTTCTGTTGCTGATACACTCATCAGTTGCTGGCAGGCCTTCAGCAGCGATGGTCAAACACCCAGTGTCTGCCTGTCACTCTCCAAATATTTTGTTTCCATTATGATGGAAATCCCTGTCCTCTGGGGTGGGAAATGGCAGGGGTCTGAAAAGGGGTGGTGATTGGTGTTACACAAATGCTCACTGAAGTGATGAAAGAAGGTTTGGAAACAGCATAGTTTAATGTAAATAACTCTGGAGGCAAAAGAATCTCCTAAGATTTCTCTAGTTCAGTGATCACTCCACTTCCTTGACCTACTTAGGAGATGTGAATTATTAGAAATCTCCTCTGTATCTGCTGCAGGCTGACAGGGGTGCAAATGAGAAGTGTATTCTGCAGTAACCTGCTGGTTTCTTTTTGCATACTTGACTGGTTTCCTTCCCTCCTTTACATCTCTCTTTCTTCCATCAAATTCTTTTCTCCAGAGCCATTAAGCACTTTCTCAGTGGTGGGTGTTCTCTGCCTCCGGGACATCATCACGTGGCAAGATAACCATGTGACCCCTGAATGAGGCCTCTGGAGAAGGGACTTCCAAGGAGGCTTTTGTCTCCCGGGGCTTCCTCCTTATTAAGGAAAACTGGTTTCCCAAAGTTCTGAGGACTCCCTCCCAACCAGACGGTGCCCAGCTAGCTTTGGTGCCTCTCTTCAGGCCAGTGAACAAATTATTAGTACTTGGAAATGGGTTTGGGAGGTCACCTTTCATTTCCTATCTTGTCTTTGTCCTTTTTCCTTCTTTAGATCAGTTAGTAAATCAGTGAAGGCTGACAGCAGTGTATATCATGGTAGAGCTAAATCCTGTGCAGCCCTATCAAGTAGTAGTGCAGTCTAAAAAAAATGGTTCAATAAGCCCTAGACAGATGCTCATGCCATCTAACACCCACTGCTTGTTGATGGTTCCCATTATTTCCCCTGTTGGTAATGGTGTGCCCAGATTTTCCTCAGTCCAGGGCTAGTACAGGGAGGTTTGTAGCATTCTCTTTCAATTCCTACACTCTGCAAGCAGGGGTTTTTTTTTTGGCAAATATAGAGCCTTTCTCTCTTTTTTATAAATGAAATGATCCGTCCACCAAAACTCTCATCTCAGTCAGACCACCCACACTAATATGCCGGTAAAAACAGAGAGATCCAGGAAGGGAAGAGGAAGGAGACTGGAACAATGTTTACCTAACATTTCTTACAGTCTAGACCTTTTTCCTGTAGAGGAAAATATCTGTTAAGGAGAAGTAAGAAAAGTTTTTCATTTTTCTTTTCTTTTTTTTTGGTGGAACCGGGGATTGAACTCAGACCCTTGCGCTTGCCAGGGAAGTGCTTATTCTACTGAGCCATCTCCCCAGCCCTTTTCACTTTTCTTATAGAGTCAGTGTATCTCATTGAAAACTTATGGAAATGATCTTACTCAGATAAAAACTATAATTGAAAAAAATGTGTAGGGCCAGGGTCTACTAAAGATTAGAAAGGATTAAAGGGAATAAAGAACTGTATTATAAAAATATTTAGGAACAAAAGAAATATTTTTATGAGTATGTCTTACAATAAATTTTTTAAAAATTAGCTGACATGTTTATATAGACTGTATATATGCATATCAGCATGTTGGCATAACTGGCCTCACCACTCATTGTCCTAGCTACTGTGTTGGGCATAACACAGGGTTTCAGCAGTTTGGGTTTTCTTAATTTAGTACAGGGGATGCAAGGTCTCACTACGCAGATTGGACTCACAGTAATCCTCCTGCTTTCAGCCTCCTAAGCACTGGGCTTATAGGCACATGCCACCACACCCAGTCTTAATCACTGTCTCATTGCACCCAGGGAGGGGCCGTGCACTGCTGTACTCTGCCTAAGCGGGTGCTTTAGTTGACTGCGCTATCAGGCTGGCTCTGTTTGAGCAGTTTTAAAACACTGACCTGCTGTAGCTTGTACTTGGGGAAACCAGGAAGACATGGGCAGATGTGACTGTGTTGGTATCTTGAGGAGTGTTAGGGAGAGGAGGCACTGGTCAGAATAGCTGCCCAGGACTCCCTTCCCAGGAGGCCCGGTTCTCACTGCTGTCTTTGATGTGTTCTCCCTTGCAGGATGGCACATATGGGCTGAACTGTGCTGAGCGCTGCGACTGCAGCCATGCAGATGGCTGCCACCCCACCACGGGCCACTGCCGCTGCCTCCCTGGATGGTCAGGTGAGAGCCCTGGGCAGCTCCTTCAAAGCGGAAACCAGCAACTTCAGGCCTAGCACTGTTCCTTGCTGTCTCAGAGACATACACATGTCCACTTTTCAGAAAAAAAAAAAAAAAAATGAAGTCTACAGTGATGTCTGCAGTACATACATTTGGCCTGGACATATAATTACTAGTTTTATTTCATTTCTACCCCAGGGCTAATGGCATTTTTGATTTATGCAGGGGCAATTCTCTGAGCTTGTGTACTAGTTCCAATAGCCAGAATTGAGGCCATACGGTGGTAGAAATGTAAGTAGCTGTGAAGGTTCCAGCTTTGAAGATGTCGTAATAAATTTAAACAGTGGGAAGGGGAAAAGGTTGAAATAAACCTTAGGAAAGTAGGACTTATTTTGTTTCACCCTAGTGAAACGAAAGTGTTAAGCAATATTATTAACATGGTAAATATGCAAATATTCAACATTCCCTCCTAGAAGTAACAGTTTGAAAACTTTCCTTTTCTTACAATCTGCACCAGTCATGACAAACTCATAGTATGGTTGAGCACAAATTTTCTAATCACAGAGCGGGGATTTTTCCTTATTTATGTGGTACTGTAATTTCAGCTGGGAAGTTTATCAAGCTAACAGTAATCCTGGAGGAAGAATGATGATTTTGCTCATGATGTACAGGCTCACTTGGACATTTAATGCCATCCTCCACATCTGTAAATCATGAGTAAAAATACTGTTATTCTTCCAGGACCACTTTGTACTCTCCCACCAGCAATGTATGAGGGGGCTAGCTTGTCTATAGCTCCACAAACGTATCCATCTTTTTGGTTATGGCCACTCTAGTGTGTGTGAAATGGCATCTCATTGTGGTTTTGCTTTGTATTTCCCTGATGACTAATGGTGTTTAGGATCTATTCATGCACTGAGGTGACATCTGTACATCTTTTTGTAGAAATATCTTTCCAGATCCTTCGCCAAGTTGCATTAGTTTTTCTATTTATTGTGGTGTTCTCTGTATATTTTAGATAATATCCTTTATCAGATATTTGATTTGTATTTTGTTCCATTCTTTGATCTGTTTTTTTTTGTTTTTTTTTTTAAGTTAGTCATGGTATTTCTTGCAGCAAAAATGTTTTTCTTCCTCACTTTATCCATTTTCTTTTTTCTTGGTACTGGGAATCTAACCCAGGGCCTTGTACTTGCCAGGCAGCCACTGTGCTACTGAGCTACATCCCCAGTCCTATTTTATTTATTTTCTAAGTTCTATTATTTGTGCTTTTGCTATCAAATCTAAGAAATCATTGTCTAATCTGAAATCACAAAGATTTATGCCTATGACTTTTTCTAAAACTTTTATAGTTTTAGTTTTTATATTCAGGTCTTTGATCCATTTTATTTATATGATTAGTAGATATAGTTTACTCTTCTGTATGTGGATATATAGTTGCCCTAACACCATTTATTGGGAAGACAATTATTTGCCCTGATATATTGCCTTGACATCCTTATCAAATATCATTTTTGCATTGTGATGGTTAAAATTGATTGACTTGGGAGCCAACCAGGAGTTTAGGTATATTTGGGTAGATCATAGAGGTATGGCTTTGGTGTCTATGTATGGGTCTCCCTTCTGTTCAGGCACTGTTTCCCTTCCCTGCTTCTGAGCCATGTTTAAGCAACTTTGCTTTATCATACTTTTCCTTCATAATGTTTTAGCCTTGGAAGCTGTTGACCTTGGAATGAATACTCTGAGACCAGGAGTCAAATTAATCCCCTTGTTCTTTAAATTGTGGGTATTGTATTAGTGTTGGGGATTGTGTTTCAGCAACCAGACTGATGACTAATACAGAGAATCTCTACCAGGAGTGGGGTCATTGGTGTGACTACTTGACTACATGGTTCAAAAGTCTTTGGAACTTAGTTTGTCAGAGGAGTTTAGAAAGGTTTGGAGATGCAGACATAAAAGCCCTGAATATTATAAATAGCATGATGGGTGATTCTGGTCAGAGCTTAAGGGGCCAGAATCTCATAGGAATGTAGGCAGGAAATGCCAGGCTTGGAAAGTTTATGCTTTTAACGAGATTTATAGTGAAAATAAGGCAAAAAGCATAAGAGAATTTTTTTTGTGGTACCAGGATTGAACTCAGGACCTTGCACTTGCCAGGCAAGCACTTATTCTACTGAGTTATCTCCCCGGGCCCATAAGAGAAAATTTGAAAGACTTAAATTTTGCCAAGAAGGAACCATGATTAAAATTGGGACCAAAGTAGGTACAGTGCTGAAGAGATTAGCACCATGAAAAAAGAACCAAATACATTGCTTAGGGACAAGAAAAATCCTTAGAGAACATCTCAGAAATTAGCAAAACTCCACCACTGCAGTCTCAAACCTTTTCATGTAAGAAGAGAGCCCCTGAGTACCCTGCTCAAAAAGGGCTGCCTAAGGATTTGGTTTCTTGGGTTTAATTTTACGACATTTGGCTACCCAACTGCTCAGAAGCTGGTGTGGCTATGGTTCTTGGGGGCCTGGACACTCTCATACTGGTGCTAGACTATGGGTGGCATCATCGATGTGATGCTGGTTTTACTGGCATGCAGATTACAAAACTGGTGGAGTCAGGGATATTTTCACCCAGATTTCAAAGGAAGACCTGGGAAACTGGGTAAAAAAAAAAAAATCCCTGAGCATGGAGTGTGTGAAGCTATAGAAATGCAGTCAAAGGTGCATTGGGGACCACAAGAAGCCTGAGATATCAGAAACAGAATATCTGCTCAGAATACTGCAGGTTATGAGTGTAGATAGCCCACGACCATCTTGGTTGCACCTAGCAAGGCTGTAGGGAGGGGGCTGCCCCAGACTGTGTGTAGAACTAGGATGCCCTATGTGCAGATATGAAGCTATGGGACTTTATGTTTTCCCTACTGGGCTTCAGTCTTGCTTTGGTCTCTTGTATTTTCTTTCTTCTTTTTTTGGAAAGAAAATGTTTTCCCTGTTTTAGTGCAGCTTGGGATTATGACTTGTTTTTGACTTTTACAGAGATTTACAGCCAGTGGTTTGCCTTGAGACTCAGAAGAGAGCTGGAGTTGAGCTTTTGAAAATTATTAGAGCTGTTGAAACTTTATAGAAGAGATTGTTGCATATTTAGTTTTATGCAAGATAATTGTATAATATTCATGAAAATTATGTATTCATGTTTATTTGGGGATTAAGTATGGTTTAAGGAGTTATGTTTGAATATCAAGTTGACAAGCATGACAGTAAAGTTTTGTCAGCATTAGTGGCTTGACAGTTACTGAGGAGACTGATGGAGTACCCTTCCGGGTGTATCTGTGTGGGTCATGGAGGTGTGACCTCAGTACTTTTTCTGGTTCCTCACCTCTTCTGGAATTGTTCCCCTACCTTTCTTACCAGCTACCATGAATTAAACAACTTTGTTCCCTCTTACCCCTCTACCGGGATGTTTCTGGCTGGAGATAATGGCTATAGACTGAATCCACCAAGACCAAATTAAACTTCTGTTTTAACTTGAAGATTTCTGGAAGTATGTCTCAGCAAAAAGAAAGCAGACTAATGTAGTTACAAATGTACTGAAGTTGATTTATATAATCTTGATTGTATCCCATGGTCCATATGTTTATTTCTATGCCAGTATCATACTGTTTTGGATACTGTACCTTTGTAGAAGTTTTTTAAAAACTATTTTGAATATTTAGGGTCTCTTGAATTTCCATGTGAATTTTAAGATCAGCATATGAATATCTTTAGGAAACAAGGTAGAAATTTAGTGGAAATTTAGTCTCTAAGTCAATGTGGGGAAGAGTGCCAAAATTTAACTATATTAAGTCTTCAAATCCTTAACATAATATGTTTCCAGTAACCTGAGATTTTGTAGAGAGTTTCTCTTCTTTTTAATAGGAGTAAAATGGCATGACTGTCATGTGCTTAATCACTGGTGTCTGAGAACTGCTTCAAGAAACAGGCAAGACTGGTACGAGATTTCATTTCCTGCCTGTAGAAACCACCCATCAACAGAATTTATTCAAAACAAGCTTATTAAGAAAAAATATTAGTCTGCCTAGTATTGAGAATAAAATGATGTAAGTATTACACATAATTTGCTTTTCCTTTTAGAAAAAAAGTCAATTTTTGGTTCAACTGTAGGATGTTTTGAGAAAGCGCCTTCTCAACTTGTGCAATTCTGACTTTGTAGTATGAAATTCCAACTTCTTATGTTCCTACTGGCTCTCTATTACTAAATGCTAAAGCTTAATCATACCAGGGATTAAATATAATTGTGTGACTTTCCCAGGGAACTTGAAGTTCTCAAATACACTGGCCAGTACTGATTTCTTAAGACCACAGTGAGGCAAAATAGGATTTTTAACCTTCTGGCATTCAAAGCTTCTCAAAGAGATCCCACATCATTTATTTTAGGACATACTCTTCCAAATCTACTGTTGTCTTGTGGATATATGAAGAATGTGAGGTGTCTCTGGTGTCTCTGAACACACCAGTCACTACTCAAGTGTCCACCTGCTTTGATGATTTAGAACCAGCCTATGAAAGCACACATGAGGAAAGCAGGAGATGATTTGGCCTGAAGCCAGCAGGAAAACTGGCATTCCACTGTCTGGGTCAGGAGGAAAGACAGATGATCCCATCTGGCTTTAGACCTATCAAGCTCCTTCAGGAATGCAGCAGGCTTGTCACACAATGTAGTCCTGTAATCCTCTGCCCATCTGTGACTGGCCTGTTTCTCCAAAAGGAAGGAAGCTTTGCTGCCTTGGGGGTTCCATCTCTCACTGTTCACTGTGGCCATGCCTTGTGGCCTGTACGTCTTTATTGCCCCTAGGTCAGCTCAGTTGTTCCAGTGCTTCATCTCTCTGGATCTTCTGTGTGGGCCATTGGTGCGTTAACATCTGTCAGTGTCTAAGCCTGCTGGGAAGTTGTTTCTCCACACTCCCAGAACACAATGGAATAAGCATGTGGAGAGAAGAACAAGCTCCAGAC